TTTTTTATTTTTTTAGCCTACATGCTTTCACTTTCATATTATACATATAAAAAAAGATACAATGTAAAAATAAATAAATAAAAATGTGAATAAAATATTATTATAAAAACAAGTGTTAATGAATTACTTATGTTTAATAATAGGAGGCGAAATGACAATTTTTTGAGATCTAGTCCAATATAGTCAATTGTCTTCATATGTATTATTAACTTTATATGACTATAAAACATAGCAAAAAAAATATAATATTAATACAAATGAGATTGGTTCAAATTTGAAATACTTTATTTTTTAAATTAAAGGAATAAAAGTAGGAGATTTATTATACTAAGAAACTTAGTTATGTTTCAAACTATCATATTATTGGGCTTTAAATTTTTTGTATCTAGATACTTTAATTTTGAGTTGATCATTTTATTAGAAATTTAGAACTTATATTCAATTAAAAAAAGATCAATGAAATGCCTAGAATTTATATATTTAGCAAATAAGGAGATAGAACCACAAACCCTAAATCTAAGTTGAGCACATCGCTAGGTAAATGCTCAAACCAAATTCTAAAGAAATGTGCAGGGACTTATAATATCTTAAATTCACTTAAAATTGAAAGCAATCTAACTTCATTAGACTTACAACCTACTTGGGAATGCTGCCAACTAAACTCATTCTACCAATTTTAATGCCGTGACATTTACTATTGATACTTTACAAGATGGATAGGCTGTTATTTAATTAGAAAGGAAGAGATACAACTTTGATTTTCCAATCTAAGTTAGCTTTATCATGAAAGGTGCTTACTTATCTAACTTACACAATAAAAGTTTTTTTTTAATTTATTTTTTTATATCATAATATAAATCTAGCATTCAAAAATGAAAATCAAGTCCAATTTTTTAAGATAATTTCGACAACATGACAACCTTAATCTACTAAGGAATAGTAGACTTAACTTGTTGCTTAGGCAGCTCGTAGTTGTTGGAAGTGAGTGTGAGATTTTTTGTTTGAGTTTTTAATATTGTAAAAATGTAAAATTCATGCATGTATGTAAAAAAATAAAGGTTAATTTAAAGGACAAATATATTTTACCTTAAGAGCTTAATGATTATAATCATCCCCAACTAACCATAATCAAAAGAAAGCATAGGAAAAACAATTATTTCTGTCTTGCACGTTGAGGCAATCACACCAACCAATCAATTTAAAATGAAATAATATACAAAGGTCAATGTGGCAAGTGCCACTTATTGTAACCTAGCAAGTAAAATAATGTGATGACCGTGCTCCACCTAAAACAACTTGAATTTCTACTTCTAGTAGACTCAATTTAAGCTTGTGGGTCTTCAAACTTCAATCCTTCAAATTTTTAATTATTTATAAGGTTCTTAAATGTTTCACTAAATTTGAATAATATTTTTGTTATTGTATTTGAATCCATAAAAAATGTTATTTTTTATCTTTAGGGGTGATATTCATTCTTTATGTAGATTTGATGACAATAATAAGAAAAAAAATTATTTTTATATTTGAATCCATTGGCGAATATTATATATATATATATCTTTTGAGATAGAATTTTGTTTTCAATGAAGTGTTTGATTACAAAAAAAAAGTCATGACCTTGAAAATTTTAATTTCCCATAAATTGGATTTTTTTTGTCAGACAACACTTATTTTCTTTATATTTAAATGTTTAGACCGTCATAATTTATTTTTTCCTCATAAAATAATAAATTTATTAATAAGTTTGCCCATGTCTAATTATAATAATTATATAGTTTGTATTTAATCTAACTTTAGAATACTCATTTTCTTTTTTTATTGAATAGCATGCAATAATATTATATATTTTTTACTATTTTTTATAGTCATATTAAATTAATAATACAGAGAAAGGCAATTAGCTATATTGAATTAGACCTCAACAAATTGTCAGTTCGCCTATTTCTATTATTAAACCAAGTAAGTTACTAACACTTATTTTTATAATAGTTTTTTAATCATAATTTGATATATTTATTTTTACCTTGTATTTCTTTTTACATATACAATATGAAAGTCAAAGCCAATTAACTAAAAAGAAAAAAAAAACAAATAAAAAGAGAAGTTCAAAGTTTAAACCCTTTTCTTATCATTAGAAATTCTCTATTTAATGATATAAATTTTTTTATCATTTCATCCGATATAGTTTTACAATGAATTTGAATGTAGCTAAACTACATTTTTCTAATGGTGGATGGATAATGAGTAAGAATGCGCATACTTTTAATTTTTTTAAACTATACACTGTACAAACAATAGTAATGAAAATACAACATATGACTTTCAAATTCTATCTCAAAAGAAGTATTTTCAGAAACTCCAATGAACATTAATATTTTTATTTGTCTTTCAAAGTTTATATGATGATTACACATTGAGTGACACTTATATATGAATTAAATATCCAAATATTCAATGGATGTGTATGAGGGTTCACACATTCATATTAAACATGTGTAGTCTTATTATTTATGATGATTTTATTCGGTGGTTTGATGAAGAACATGGCATTTTACATAAATTATCATCAAATTATAATAGCGAAATTGATTATAAACGTGTATTATTTCTTCAATATTTTGAATTGGGGGCTAGTTTTATAATATGTAATGAATTTTTATATTTAGTTTTTCCTAGACATGGGTGACCTAATTTGCCTATGTTTCAAGATATGATTTGATGACAATGCAAGATTATTTTATATTATTCAAATTAAAAATATTGAAAGGTATAATTTTTTTTATTATACCTAAAAAACTGGAGTATCATCCACGGCACGAACACCTGGACATATTGGTAGAAATAATATTTTTATTGACATAGATGATAATGTATAATGCTACATGTTTAAATTTAGCACACAAGAAAATATTGTGTTAAACTTATGTCGGGACGATTTTTTTAATTTTGCTTGTAATGGATTATGGAACATTTAATATATTAAAAGATGTTTGCATTTTTAGGCGTCTCAAACATATTTCATTTTATTTGGTTGTTGTAGATATGATCTGTGCTCTTTGGCTTATAGTGTTTTAATCTTTTCTTTTCTAAATGTTTTGAGTATAATGTTACATCATTTAATTGAATAATTATTTCAACATATTGAATGATTCTTTAAAAAAAATGATAATTATATTGGTAAATTTATGTTACTTATCTCTTCCAATATTTATCTAATACAAAAAAAATTATATATAAGAAACTCATTATACATATTTGTTAGTCAAATCTATCTTTTTCAGACAAAGAAACTATTAAGTGAAGCACAAATGTTCGATAGAGAATGTTTTCATCAAGCTCCATGAAGAGCGTTTGCGACTACTGTCCATCTATCTCTTCTTAGATAATAATAAAAAACTCTTATATAAAGACTAAGGTTTTATTTCAGACATTTTTTGTTATTTTTTAAAACAATTTTTTAGTACAAAAATTTCTAGTTCAAAAATTTTTGTATTAAAAAATTTGTTTAAAAAACAAGAAGAAAGTTGTCCCAAATGAAGTCTAAAAGGCAATGGTTGAAGCACACATGATTCACTTTTTACAATCATCCATACACTTCACTATTCACATACACATACATCACCTTTCAAAACACCTTTACACGTTTCAAATTTCAATGTACCTTTTAGGCACTCCAACTTTCAATATGCACACACTTTACTTTCCCACATTTACATTTCTCAACTCTCAAAATATATACAAATTCCATGATTCCATTTTTCAAACACATCTACACAAATCACTTTCCAAACATATCACCCACACTTTCCAAGAGATACAAACATACACCTTACTGCTCACATGATGCATAATTCCACCTTTCCAAAACACACAAGTTTCACATTTTTGAAACCACAAGCCCCACTTATTATTTCTCACACATATCAGTTTTTCAAAACAAAACACTTTTCATTCTCCAACAATCAAGCTTCACTGTACCATTCACAACCACCCTTCATTTTTTAAAACATACTCATGTTACTATACTAAAGAAAACATCGTTGCAACATACAAGTTCCCATAAACCCTTACAACAGTAATAATGAGAAAGAACAATTAATGACACCTTACTCTTTCCAAAGACTCATGAAAATCCCCAATATAAAGCATATAACCCTGATTCTACCAACCGTACACCATATTTATAAAAATTGTAATTTTTCATAATCAGGAGTTGCTGGGAAGAAGAAAAGATATCAATGCTCTTTTGAAATCTCTATAATAAATAATACAAACACATTTTTTATGAAAGAATAAATTATGATCTCAAACAAGAAGTTATTGCTTTAAAGGAGAAGGGACCTAAACATGCACGTAACACCTCCAACTTTCCCTTTAAAGTTAAAGCAACCAACATAGATAACCTTGACCACGAATGGTGCAATCATCAAATAAAATGAAAAAGATGCATTGCAACCACCACGCCACCCCATTTACTCATTTCATCTCAACCATTATGCCAAATATCATTAAGAGAAAGAGAAGTTGGAAAACTTTGTTCTCTTTTAAGAAAAATATTAAAGGACTTTCCAATTAAAACTAGATGATTTCATATTGAGTTGATGTACTTTCAGGCTTTGAAACAATCTAATAAACAAAGTTATTTCAGCACACCTACAAGCCTTCACATAACATGATATCAAGTCACCATACAATATTTAAGATTCAAGAATGTGCATAAGCATGTTACAATCATTAATGATTTATTGAGGCTTAAACGTGTTTCCATCAAGGCATTGATATATACACTGAATTTCGAAATACTATATACAACAACTCAAACTCCATCAAATACATATAGATATTTGCTTAAGAACTCATATTCATCAGGTCTTATAACCAATTCGACAAAGAAACTCATATCCAACAAGACATAGCAATGTGGAGAGAAAATTTTAGAAGAAGAAAATGATAGGAGATGAAGAAGAGGAAGATGGAGAAGAAATAGGGGAAGCATATACCTATGGCCGGTGGCTAGGGCAAGAAAGGGCTTCGGACAGGATTGGCTAAAGCAAGAACCGCCCAACCAGGATGGCTTCGGGCTGCCTTCCTTGGGGCGGAACCGACGGGATAGAGGGAGACTCCGCCTGGGTTTCTTGCGAACAAAAAGGAAGACGGGGAGGTAGGGCTTTCGTTCGGCCTTCTTGCAAAGCTAGAAACAGATGAAGCCAAGGGGAGGTTCGGTCATGGGAATGAGAGGAGACGGGGGCGGCCTGGGGGCTTCTCAGTTCTCACGCAACCAAGGGAGGAGGCCGACGGACCTGAGGGGCTTGCGAATAGAGAGCTGGGTGAGGGGGAGTTCGGTCCGTCCGAATAGAGAGGGAGATCGTGGGTTCGGTTACACTAGCCCTAATTCCTAGCTACTAAACCGCCTAGAATCAATAATAATTTTTTTTTAAATGAAATCTATATATTAAATTAAGTGAATTTAATTAAAACTTTAATTTAGATGGTTTGAAATAAAATGACTAATTTGATTAATATTAATTTAATAATTAATATCATTTAATTTGCGATGAGTTAAATTGGAATAATCAAAGCCGTCTATATTAAATTGAACTCGAATCGAGTGGGTTGAACTCGACGCCGAGTTGATTTGATTATGATCAAGTTGTGATGTGTCAAATTAGAAAGCTGAGTCCATACTACGTCATTAGGAATCCACCTAAAGGAAATCTTATGGGTGACATCTACGCTAGGTTACGAAGACCTAGGAATTAGATATTGATTCCAAAGAAATTTACCTCGAATAATGAGGTCAAAAATGTCAATGGCGACAGTCTCCACCAACCTCCTTGCGAATGGCTCTCAGATCTCTGTCGCCTTCTTATTATCGAATTCCCGTACATTCTGTGAAATGACTTAAATTTAACCTAAATTTACTATAAATCGGGCCAATAGGCTAGAGTTCATTCTAAATATGGCCGACCAACGGTGCACCACTGCACCCAGAGGAAAATTGAAACCTAAATTAACAAAGCAGGGAGAGTTTGTTGGGGTGAGAATTCTAATTAGGGCTTTCCTACTAAAATAATATATATAAATTTAATTATTTATCAATATTAAAATATTTATATTATTTGTTGCACGCATAATATATTCATCTTTTCTTCCCTTATTAATTAAAATTTTTATTTAGTTGATTACTTATTATATTATTTATGAGCCTATATCAATTTATTCAGGATTTTTCTAATTTTTATTTGATTTTTAGAAAAATTTTCAATGCTGAGATGATAAATTATTAAATTATCATTCTTTTCCTTGTATTGTCTCTCTCTTATATTATTTGTATTTCATTCTTAATATTTTACTTGAATAAACTTGATATTTTAGTGATTTAACTTTGAAATTGATTTTTTAGAC